TTGAAAATTACGGGTATTCCCACTGGTCGGGCTTTCTTGTACGTGACTGTTGTCAAAGGCCTCTCTTCTGCTTCTACATCACAGTTCATTTTCGCGGAGTCGATGATTGTTGCATCGCTGTAATCCTCTTGATTATCAGCTCGCGCCTTCTTCGGAGTAACACACTCGTCGTCGACGTTAGGTGTCGTACAGGGGCCGTCACAGTCCTCCTCGGGTCCGCGAAACACGTGATTATCTTGCTGTTCAGACGCATTCATCACTTCTTCATCTGATGGGCGCTGAGAAGAATGGCCGCCACCAATAACTGAAGCTTTTGGACGTCGTGGCAGGCTAACATAAGGCTTCGGCGCCTTGGAGACGTGGCGCCTGGTGCACCACGAAGGTGGTGGCCGAATCTTGGCAGTAAGAGGCAGAAGACGGGTAAGAAAACTTACAAAATTGGCGAAAGAACAGCAGCGCTAGGAAACTCACGCCCAGTGATTCTTCACTTTGTCTTCCTTCCTTCCTCGGAGGTTCTTCATTCTGGGTGGCATTGATTCAAAAAGGTACGGAGGATGCATATTTCGTTGAATGTGGTCTACTGAGATGTACTGTCTAATTGTTGCGGGAATTATCTTTTTCTCCTAACATTCTTGCACGGCTGGGGCATAGTCCCATCTTGTAAGTGTCGTCCCTTATGTTTCAGTGAGTCTAAGCAATTCGAGTTGATGTACTTTTGTACTTCGACGAACTCCCAGGTGTTCTGGAGATCTGAGCAAATTATTCGCATTGTGGAAGCACGTTCTGGGATTCCTATGACCGTCTTGATCACCTTTTGCATGAGGGTATTCTGTTTCTGAATTTCAGAATTGTTTCAGTTCAATTAAGGGGTTCCATCAGTAATTCTGCTGAAGATGAGTGCTTGAATCACCTTGATCGTGTCTTGTTCTTCCAAGCCATGCCTTTTATTTGACACCCATCGTACCAAGTGTGCCACTTGCGTTACAGTTTTTTTAACCTTCCGTAATGTGGGTGTGCCCGATCCGTCTTTGTGCATGTGTAGAGCAAGGACTCTAAGCGATTACAGTTTAGGTATTTGCACTGACTCCATTCAATGGAAGCTTTTGTTTCTGTATTTCAACTGATGGCAGCCGTCCCATTGTTCTCGCTTTTAACAGAAGCTCCGACTTTTCTGACACACATGTGAACCCTCATGCTTTGAGGCAGTTAACTGTGCGGTTGAATATTTCTTGAAGTGTATCCTGCTGAGCTCCCGAAGAGCCGCCGTTTGTCCACATGGTTAGGCCATCTGCATAGAAGCCATGGTTTATACCCTGTATTTTTTGCGCAACGTTCAGCAGATTCAAAATAGCAATATTAAAAAGGAGTGACAAGATGACAGAGTCTTGAGCGGTTGTTTTCTTTGCCATTTAAAACTGATTGCGGTTTCAAGGTGCCAAGGCACAGTGTTCCTGATCTGCTAGTAAGAACTTTTTGTGCGTAGCGGTATGTTCTTTAGCCTTGGTGCGTGTCCTCAAAGTTCTTCAGTACCGTGTTATGGGCATAATTGGGAAATGCTCCTTTCACGTCCAATGTCAAGACGGTTCCTTCAATTCTGGTCATCAATGACATCCTCCTTTAGCTGTAACAAGATGTCTTGCACTAAAAAATGGTGGCGGCATTTATACATCGTGTATGGCAAGCATCGGTTTTCTTCCACGTACGGAGTTAGTCTGTTTAGAACCATGTGTTCTTGCATCTTACCGGCGTGGAATGTTAGTAATATGAGTCGTATATTTCCAACTCCCAGTGTTTTGTTTGGCTTAGGAATTTTTACGATCTCAGTGTCTTTCCAGACTTCTGGAATAGTCCCACTTTCCAAGCTGTCATTTCAAGTTTTTAAGAAATATTCTTCCCTACTTTTGCTTACGTTTCGTAGTATCTCGTTGTTTATCCGTTCTTCACGTGTAGATGAGTTCTGAGATATTTTTTGATGGCGCCTGCATTTCTTCCAGTGTTAATAGGTGATCGAGGTTTTCCTTTCACTTGACTGTGTATTCAAGTCCAAAGCAGGAACTAATGCAGCTTGGGTTCCTCCTGTCAGCTTCTTCTGCAACGTCAACAAATTTTTATGTTGCATGGCCCTTCAGTTGTGAATGCATTTTGTCAGGTTTTTTCTGGAGTCTATTCTTGATTCCGTTGTACTCAAAAGTGATTTCAGTATGTTCCAGGTTATTCGGGTGAATAAAGTTCTTTGAAGGTTGTGACACATGTGGTTTCAGCTCTGCCTTGCTAATTCGTCAGCGTATTTGTCGGCTTGCCTCGTCGTTCCGCGATCCGTTCTTGAAAACCCTGTTGCACTTCTGTTTCTTGATTAATATGTGGGGTTCAACGTCTCAAAACCACTATATTTTAAAGAGAGACACCGTAGTAGAGGGCCCCGGAAATTTCGAACATCTGGTGCACCCAAATCTGATCACACGGACCTAGAGCATTTTCGTCTCCACCAAAAATGCAGCCGCCACACCCGGGATTTGATTCCACGACGTGCGGGTCAGCAGCCGAGTACCTTAGACATTAGACCACCGTGGCAGGATCGCTACTGTTTCGTCCATCGACGGATAAGGCTTTTACGAGCTTACCACAGGTGGAGAAGGTGAGGGTTCGCTGCTGTCTTTAGGGGCAAAGCTTCCTACAGGGGTGCTGCAACACTTTTAGAGCATGGTGAAAACGCTGCTGATCAATAGTAGAGGCTTCCGAGAACACGCGAGCCCAATGTTATAGCACAGCATGCGGCCTGGAATTCACAATAAATTATCAGTCAGCTAAAAGTTGCTTTCTCTTTCCTCGACAAATCACGGAATATGCCCAAAAATGAAACGTAAATGACCCATCTATCAGCCATTGGCTGATTCGAACATGGCGCGCACGGTTGTTACAGAGGTCGCCACGAGAGGCTGTCACTTGTCCACACGTGCGCACGCGATCGCACTAACAAAGCCGCGTATTTGAAGAAAAAAAGAACAAAAATGCTCAAAGGGAGGTGGCGCGAGTGACGTTTTTCTTTTGCCCCTCCCGTTCCTCTCTGCTCAGCTTCCAGTGATTACGTTAGGACGAGAGAAGAAAGAATGCGATTGCAGCGCGTGACAAATCTTTGTAACTCCGATCGTACTGGACGGATTATTAAACTTTTTGCGGCTTTCAATTTGCGAGATTATACGCTTTTCCGGTGAATAATTCCATGGTTGTTCGAAAAAGCGTATCAGGTCCCCTTTAAGGTGTGGGTCCTGCACCTCCTGAATGTTGTAGCCACATATTGTTTTAGTCTTTTAGGATGGCGGCACTTGTATATGATGAAATTATGATGACAAGATGCGAGATGGTGGTACTTTGAATGTTGACGAGATGAACGGACGTACAGACACACAGACAGACAAAAAGACAGACCGACGCGCAGAAAGACAGACAGACGGACGGACATACAGTCACATGGATGGACGGGCGAACAAACAGACAGACAGACAGACAGACAGACAGACAGACAGACAGGCAGGCAGGCAGGCAGGCAGGCAGGCAGGCAGGCAGGCAGGCAGGCAGACGCGGGCAGCAGACGATACGTTATTGCTACTCTTGACCGTTTTGAAAGTTGCAATCTTGGTTGTGGTCAATAGATGAATTTATCGGTCATAGGAGTGGTGGCATGTACTTTTCCTTTGCTTGACATACGAAGGAGTTATTGCACATTTCCCGGAAACAAAAACGAGTAATGAGTGAGGAAATTAGATTCAGGTTATCGGGAGAGTTGTATTCATTCGCGAAAATACCTCGGTTCCATTGCGCCAGGGCACTTTCGTTTAACGACACAACAGAACACTATGAGCCGTAAATTAGAACTTCAGTTACGATGTTGAGTGCAGCATGGAAACCAATACAGCCGGTAATTGATACCGGCTTCTCACGAAAGAAAAAAATTAAATTTGAGTAAAGGGCTGTAATTAGAGACTCGAATATGTGCCGCTCCTGTTTGCCTGGTGCACTCATTCAATCGAACGCAATGCCAGTAATAAACATAACCTCTTCATACGTACAACATTAGTTCCAGAGCTATAACTAGGCTCGTTCACTAAGTTAAACCACATCGAATGCAAGAGTGCCTTGCACACACGTGTCCTTCTCAAAGTAAGACATCGGGAATAAAGTAACGCTCTCTAAAGCGTTAACAATAAATCAATTCATTTCAAAGTAATGAAAACAACACTCATGTATTCATATGCATTTAAGCATTCGTCATGCATTGTTGACCACAAAGGACGATTTTGGTTGCGGAGCGTCAATGCAAAGCGACGTTGCCAAAACGCCGTGCCACGTGTTCAGCTGAATATTATCCACGCACACAGCAATGCCCATTTGGACCATTGACGCGTATCGGTGCCCATAACACACGTGCATTCATTCTCGCTACTAACTTCCATAGATATGACGCGACTAGAGTAGTAGATGTTTCTATTGTTCTCGAAACTCCACCCTCAGAAGCGAAAGCACCCTTTCGTCATCCAACATCACCTTGACAAGTGGTATATATGCCACGTGCTGTGCGAGTGACGAACACCGAGATATATTGCGCAGGAATTCGGTCAGCCATAGCTACCCTCCATGGCAGGTCTCTTCCGACTGCGTCGAACCGTAACACCGGCCGCGCCAAAGGAAAGCGAACGGGGGCAGCCGAGCAGGTAGTTTGCTCCCAGTCGAAGCTCGCGCGTGCGGCGCTCCCGCGCAGCTCCGCGGCGTGTGCGCCGCAGAGCTGCTGCCGATGCCGGCAGCTAGCGGTTTGTCAGAGCAGTCGCGGCTGCCGTTCGAGAACGGGGCAGTGAGCAGCGGCTCCTTCTCGAAGCGCGAGCGAGGGCCGCTCAAGCGCGCCCCGCTCCCTCCTACGATCGCCGGCGGCGCGCGAGGCGGTGTGGTGCCGGCGGCTCACGCCGTCCGCCGCCCGACCTCAGTCGCCGTCGCGGACAGCGGCCGGCATGCGGAGCGCATCCGGCACTGCCTCCGGTGCATGTTACGTCCAGGGCGTTTTGTGGGCAGTCGTGCCCGCCGTGGCGGTGTGGACGCTCTGCGGCCTCAGCTGCGACCGGTACGCTGCCATCGCCAGTCCGCTCCATTACTCGCGCCTAGTGAACACGCGGCGGACGTGCGCCTTCCTCGGCGTGTCCTGGATTGTCGCGGCGGGTGCGGCCGTGCCCCCACTCGTAGGAGTGTGTCCGTACTCCTACGGTCCGTCGCGATGTGTGTGCGTCGCCGCGTGCGCTGGCAGCGGTGCGGACTCGCAAGCCCCAGCGTCATCGCCCGTGGGACTGGGATACGCGCTAAGCTACGTGTGGCTGTCCCTCGTCTTTCCGGCGTCACTGATCGCTGCAAGCAATCTGCAGGTGCTCCTCATCGCACGCACGCACAGGCATCGCATCGTGGCTGCCATCTACGAGGTCAGTGGTGCCCTGGCACCTGTTGCTTTTCAGGCTGCGCGAACTTCACAGCAGTCGATCTTCTGTCTGCCTGCCCGCAGCGAAGAGCTATGCACTTTCAAAACCTGATGTCCAGAATAAATGTCTCATTATGGCAGACCGTGACCTCTCCGTTAGGGACTTTTTCTAGAATCTTAGCAATATGTCTCGCACACAGGTGAACGACATTGGTTTGGATAAAACCTAAAAACGTAAAAGGAGAAAGGTCGTCATAATCATGAAATGGAAACGTTGGTTACATTTTGCACTTTACAACTTGTTGCATAAGGTGGTTATTATGTAACAGTTCATAGAGTAATAAAATACCGCTAATGATGGCGCAGTGGAAACCAATGACTCCAGCGGCGGTCACCGTCCTTGACTGTTACTTCCGATTTGTTTTCAATCATTTTAAAATCTCGAAGAAGTATAGCTAACCTTCAATAAGCAACCATAAGGCAGACAGGGCGCAATTTGGTTTGGCGTGGGTGAATGATTTAGAATAATGATATGGTAACTTCAGAAGAGCTGTTCAATTATATGGTAACTTGATATGGTAACTTCAGAAGAGCTTCAGAAAAGCTGAATGACGTGACAGTGCATGGGATCATATGGCTATGGGAGACGTGAAGGAACAAGTATAGTATTTTGGTATACCTCACCTACTCGTGTTGTCCTAAGTGACTAAGGATACCAACTGGACATTAGCGGGTAACACGAGAATACTTGAGTATGCTATTACATACGAACGTTTTCTTTTATCTGTGCTGTCTGGGTCGCCGAGCAAAAATCACATCTTTCTTTATTTGAATTTCTGAACACAATCAACATAAACTTCGCATTGTTTTGCAATATACCTGTAGTTGGTGTTTAGATTATCTGATAATTACGATTATATGAATAAAAGTTTGTCTACTGTCCACAACATGCGCACACCATACTGCCGCTCCCACGCGAGCGCTGCATGTGAGACTTGCCGACACATGCGAGGAAAAATCAGATAAACTTGCTTTTAATAAAGCATTGCACCTATATAAAGCAATTGTCAAACATGCCACTTAACGTAGAAGGATGACACGTTGCTGTTTTGTACCCGCGTAGCACGCTAGCCAACTGCCGACCTATTAAGTTCGTAGATCTGCACACGTTCTTGCGGGGACTGCGGTTCACTATTTTCAGCGCAGGACAACGGGCTCGTATTTTCAAGGTTGCTCTAACGCGCAAGCTCTGTAACGGCGTGTTGACGTGCGACGAAGATTAGTGAAGTATATGAAAAAAGAAAATACTTCTCGGGAGATTTGTGTCGTCGTTAGGCATAGCCAAATAAAACAACCAGACAATTAGGTCTAGGAAAATACACGGCACATAACTTGTTCGTTTCACTGCGAAAGCTCTTACAAGATCGCATCAAGGGCAATTTATAGCGCCGCAGTTGTCCACCGTTGGTGCCCGTAATCACTATCGCTCGATATAGCAAAAGAAAACGAAATAAAAAAAACCAAATACACAACATGGAATGACAACCTAGTTTCTCACCGTAGCAGTCCATGATTTTACCGCAGAGCCATGCCGATACCCAAAACTGCTTTGCAAAAGCACTTTGTACAGGTGTTATGGCAAGAACGAACTTCGTTAAAATGTAATATAGCGTGATCGAAGAGTGAAATACCAACCAGGCCTCACTCAACGCGAATTCTGTAACCAGTCGTCGCAAGATAAGAAATGCACAACAAGTGGTTGGTTGAATTTTCTCAACCCTAAATGAATGGCTAGGGAAAATTCTACATCGTCATCAGCCAGTGCATCGACCAAGTGCTCGTAATTCCTTGCACATGCGTAAGGGGCACCTCGATTTTCATCATAATGATGAATAATGGCGTAGTGGGTGCTTTCATTGCTTGACAAAAATTATGAGTTTTTAGTGGGTACCCTGCAAACAGACTTGTGCTAGTAGTCCCATGAGAGTGGCAGCGATTGCAGAAATGCCGCTCATCCCACTTTCGCTGGAATAGCGGTATAATTATAAGGAAGAAATGATAACATTATAAGGGTAATAAATATGAATTATAGATTTTTGTGGGTATAAGATATAACATAAACTGAAATAATTTGAAGTGGACGATAAAACAGTTCTCTTTGGTTGACTCAAACCTTCTATTGCGACCTTCTATTTCAGTAGAGCTCAAACTTAACAAATTTTCTACCATATTTTGCTATACTGTAATCCGGATCAATATGATTGTGTTCAGAAAGTATTAAAAATCTAAATAAATAGATAGTGCTTATCAATCTCATCAATGATTTTGTTTGGTAGAACACATCAGGTGAACGAGTAAAAAATTTGTGTATGAAACTCTCATATTCATATTGTATTGTTTATTCTGCTTCTATTTCTTACGCCTATTATGTATTTGACCTCCATGAACATCAGCAGCTGTAAGTCATTGTATGCACGTTCCAATAAAATTAAATGAACGTGCAAAACTAGTTTAATAAAGTTAATATATAAGTGTGTTAGCTTATCGTTATTACAAAATAGGACAAATATATCAGACCGTCATTTCAGCATCTGATGCCAGACCCGAACAATCTTGCTGGCGCATGATGGTTCTTCAGCACAGCTTTGAATTAAAACAGTTGTCAAAAGTGTTTAACAAGAATTGAAATAAAGTCCCGGCCCTATGCGCAACAAGAAAGGCACATGAAAGCCTTCAATCCTGTAGCAGAAACAACTACAGTTCTTGTCGTAGTAAAATTCTGATGAGTTTATGCAACATTTAAAAGAACAGTCGTGTGTAATTACCATTTTTAACAAACAGCATCAATGCAGTCATTGGATATGCCTGTTTTCCAAGTCGTCTGCAGTAATGAAGTGAACTAAGGGAAAGCATGCATAACAGGGATGGTGAATATGAAATAAGAGCAATTAAAACCAGCTCTCTCAATGCTGTTTTTCATCGGATGGCAGCGCAACAGTGGAGCCACGTCATTGAGCGTCCATGAAGCGCTCTATAAGTTCGTACTCTTAGCGCCATGAATGCATGTTCTGCTATACTTACGATTGTAAAATCGTGTTATCGTTTATCTTCGTGAAAGCCACAAGTAGGCAACATCGAAATGCGTTTGAATTGATTGATTGATTGATATTTGGGGTTTAACGTCCCAAAACCACTGTATGATTATGAGATACGCCGAAATGCGTTTGGAGGGTTAGTTGGCGTGAATGCATAATGTTTATTTATCGCGAAACGGCACCACGAGAAACAAGATAGGACAAAGCGCTTTGCCTTGTCTGTTTTCTTTTCTTGTGGTTTCGCTTCGCGCTAAAAATTGCTGCAGGCTGCCTCAAAGTATAATCTACGACACTTGTTCTCAAAAACGCCCAATATTTTTTCCCAATAGCACTTTCACTTGGGTGAGTTCGTACATAATTGAATAGGCTTCAGCGCGACCTAGACGAATACCGTAAAATACACACAGAACACAGACGAGTGCTCGTCTGTGTTCTGTGTGTTTCTTATGGTCTTCGTCTGAATCGCGCTGAAGCCTAATCTTTTTTTTTTACTTAGGACGAAAAAAATTGATCTATAAATATGTTCAAGACGTTTCAGTTACATTCCACACTTCACAGGCGCCATAAAAAGTGCAAATAATGGTAACTATTCTAATAACAAAAAAAGACCATGAAGGTCACAACGATACAACACTACATGCTTGTCTTCACAAGCAGTGACCTGTAACATCGCTATTAAGGGCCCACTTTTTTTTTTGCTTTTCTTGAGGGACCCGCATAAAGTAAACATCGGTAGCGTGGTCGCCGTAGTGAAGAAGGCGCTCATTTTTTCCTCGCATATTTGTCAGTGAAGTGATAAGTATCATGGCTGAAATCCGCAATGAGTACGCAGCGGCAAAGCTTTTAGATATATAGTTCACGCTAGGAGTGCCAACACAATCAAAACGAAAAAAATTTACCTTCTGATATTTTGCCGCTTTATACAGACTTTTACGATGTGCTTCAGTGCACATTCCGCCTTATTGACCGGCTGAAATTTGTGTTTTGCATATTTAACCACTAAACGGACTGTGTGCATACGAATGAAACCGCTTGGGTTCGTGTTTATTATGTTTGATGTCTTATTTTATTTTGCCTCACATATACCGACACAAAAAAAATATCGGCTTAGCGGCGCAATATAGTGATGCCCATATGCTTTGCGCTGAATAGCCTATACATAAGAATATCTTGATTTCACTTATCATATCTGACAGCGCCTATAGACTGCGTCGTTTTCGGGGAGCTCCAAATCGGCTTCTTCACAAGTTCTACAGACTAACAAGCTTTCTTGTAGCACAGTTTGATATGATCCGGCGGGTTTTTGCGAAAATAATCAGTGTGAGGGTTTTGTTTACTCAGACTCCTGTGATATATATTGCCCGCGATACCGCAACAGCTTTAAAATTGCCCCGATATTTGTATTTGCGAGCATCACACTCGGTCAGATATGCTCGTGACATAGTGCGTAGAAAGGCATAGTCTGCCAGGTTGCTTATATTTCACAGTGAGGAACTATTTTGTGGAGAAGTTTCTTTTTTACAGCGCAAGCTGTTATGAGATCACAACTCGGCTCACGCGCGGCGCCGTAGTTGTCCACCACCGCCGCCGCCACCGTTTTGTCTAACCACATCGCACGAAACTAGCAAAAAAACCTAGCACCAATGACACAGTGGGGCTCAAACCCAGGTCTGCTGGGTGCCAGCACAGTATTCTACCACTAAGCCACGCTTTCCTTCGCTTTATTGCCTGTTCATAGGCGCGTACATCAAACCACAAGCACAACAGAAACAAGCAGTAACAGTCCGACACAAACTAAAATTCCCTAAGTGCTGCCAAGCGCTCTACCCTCGACAACCACTCAGGTACAATCTACTGAGTTTTCTGCACCCGCAGGGCGCGGGTTCGAATCCCGGCTGCGGCGGATGCA